GTGGGGGGGGGGGGGGGGGGGGGGAGTAGAAATCGGATCCAAATCCAAACTTAGATACAGCTTCTCTCTTGACAAGTATAGCATATTAGATGAAGCATTTGAAGTTAAAGTTTATCAACTAACTTTTTTAGGGCATGCTTGTACGCGAGACAAAAAACTGGCCATTTTTGCAGTTTAATTGCATCCCACTGTACACGTGCAGGTTTTTTTTTTCCCATTTAAATGACTTTGCTACCATGCAAACTAAACCACATCCACATGTAGTTTAGTTTCCAAATGTCGCTATTTGTAATATTGCAGCTTCTGATAGCTTGCCCCTCTCCACCCCCCTGCTGTGGGAGAAGCAGGTAGAAGGCAGAAGCAGTGAGGGGCCTGATCTCCCCCCACCCCGCAAGCTTGCCCATGTCTCCCATGGCTGAGGGGCAGGCTGCCCCGGAGGTGTGGAGGGCCCTAGTCCCTCCTTTCATGGTGGTGGTGTCCCCTGGGGCCGCCCAGGAAGGTTGCTAGTGGGCGGGTGCTGCCCCAGCTTGGGCTCAGGGAACAGTTGGATCAGATTGAATCCTGCCTGCGAGCTGGGGCAGCACCCACCTGCTAGCCACCTGCCCGGATGGCCCCAGGGGGCGCTGCCATGGAGGGGAAGTCCAGGGCCCCTCCACAGCTCAGAGCCCACTAACAGCTTCCCCACCCCCTGATGCAGGAAAGGTGGGCAGGCTCTGCAGGGGAAAAAAAAAAAAAAAAAAAAAACAAAAAACCTATCAGGCCCCTTCCCAACCCCCCATTCCCCCAGCAGAGCTTGCCTGCAGGAGCTACCACTGGGCTGCACAGCCCCCGAGCTGCAAGGGTGGGGTGAGACAGTCCTTCCCTTCATGGTGGCAGCACCTCTTGGGGAAGACTGCTAGCTGTGCGGGTGCTGCCCCAGCTCACAGGCAGGACCCACCAGATCCAACTCTTCCCCAAGCCCATGGCAAGGGGTCCAATCCTCCCCCCCGCCAGCCCTTGTGGAGCCCACCCACCTATCCCGTGGCTAGGGAGTAAGCCGCCAGTAAGCCCTGAGCTGCAGGGGGCCCCAGACATTCCATCCACAGCAGCAGCACCCCCTGGGCAGCAATGGTGACAGAAGCCCCTAAACTGAAGCGGTGGATTTCCTTCTTTATCATCGCAATTAAAAACCCACCATTTCTATTTAAGGGACTAAACCCCCATCACATGTACAAGTGGCCTTACCAGGTAATTAAGAGGATCATTTTGCCCAACTGTCTTACAACCAGTGTATACACTACTGTTAGGGTCCCACCTCCACAACTTCCTTTACCAGGTAGAAAAAAGGCTCACAACCAAAGTTATAGGCTGTTTTGGTTATTTATTTATTTGCACCACAAGTGAAGCAACAAACAAATGCTTAATGAGATAGCAGTTTAAATTTAAAAAACAAGCTTAAGGTTCAGGTAGAGGACAAGGTCAAAAGCAAACATATTATTTAGCCCCATTGTGGAGTTTGCAATCTGCCTTTTTGTGCTTGTACAGTAACTAGTACAGTGCAGATGTGGTCTAAGACTAGTCCATAGGTGTTAAGAGCCGTAAGTGCCAGACAGCAAGTAGCTTACAAGTATTGGCCAAGGGATGAGAATGGGGGAAGGAAGTAGTTTGAGATGCCAAAATCAATTATGAAACTCGAGAAGGACAAGATGGGTATTATGCAATTTCAATGGAGTAATTTAAGAAACCACTGTTTTTCATTCCATACATCATAGCATTTTAGTTCAGTCACTGTTAAGGCAAGAAGCAACTTTCAATCTATAATCTGTTCTTTAATGCATGTGCCTGAATGCACGTTGGCCACAGAAGGCTAACCACGAGACTATTCTGCCACTCTTGGCAAAAGTCCTTCCAGTATATAATAGAGAGGAGTAGTAAACAGAGGCAAGTAGTGTTTTAAAAATCAGTTTGAAACTTGCATCTTTTCTTTTTTACTCCAACTTAAACTGATGCCAAGATAAATTTGCTGCTAAGAGGTTAACCTATACTTTAATAATTATAAAATTAAAAAAGGAGCAAAGTAGCTGAGATATCAGAGACAAGAACCTTTTTTATCTTGTCACTCACAGCTCAGGTTTAAGCTCTGGATTGGTAGAGTAAAAAGCACTAGCATTTATCAGCTGTTTAGCCATTTGCAAAAAGTTAGCTGGAGTCTGCTTGTACTCTGGAATCTATACCACTCCAGTACAAGAGCCCAGAGCAGAATTGGCATGGAGACTGAGCTACAAACCTCACTGCCACAGGGGGCTGCTAAGGAGATCAAAGGGCTGGAAAGAGTACTGAAAGGAACTGCACTGCTGCTGGCTTATGCTTGACTTGTTCTGTGGACTTCTGTCTCCAGGCATTTCTAGAACTATTGCTTCTTTCAAGGCTATTAGAGAGGGAAGTGAAAAATTTTAAAAGATGCACCTTCAGAAAGATATTCAGCATTACAGATCATCCTTGTAAACCAAGAACAATGTAAACTGTTCTTGATAGATGTAATTGTCACCTATCTGTCACCCAGATAGTCAGGGCAATTTCCAGAAGTCTTTTGCAAATAAAAGAAAAGGCGGGGGGACAGGAAATCACACAATAAAATGAGAATTGAATTTCTCAGCATAAGAACCAGAGTTGTCATTCTTGTCAGGCATGGCAAACAGAAAAGAAGCCATGTAAATACTAAAATGACTTTTAAAGAGGCAAACTGGCACTCAAACCCTAGAGCAAATTCTACTTCCTTGGAACAAAATTAAATAGCAGGAATATTCTAAAGAAAAAGCCAGAAATTGAGATTTTCCAAGTCTTTTCAACCTTTTAGAAAAGGTTCATAAAGACCTAAAATTATAGTGTAGTCATTTAAATCCTTGAAGATGTTTTAATATTAACCATATTTTAAGTTACTGAAATTTATCCCATTAAAAAGGATACCATAAAACAAACTTCTTGGATGATGGCTTTGTTCTTTTCTTCTTCATTGGACAACAATCTCTGACAAAAAAAAAAAAAAGAACACTGTAAATGGGTTTGACAAGTAACATAAGTGATACTTGCAATATTGCAGGGATAGCACACTGCATAAACTACTACTAAAAGAGCCTGAAGACTAGAGATCAGTGAGCAATGGTCAAGGCTGGCTTGTGTCAGCAGACTGGACACATTACCACTAACACAAGAAGCAGCATTTTTGTCACCTGTCTTTAGCTTCATCCATACCCTTTCTTCAGAAGCATAACTTTTGAACACTGCAAGATCATACTTGGTCTACTGCAGAGGTTCCCAAATTTTTTCTTATGGTGTACCGCCTTCCAGATTTACCAGCATATGTTTTATATTTTAACCCCTTAAATGCCAATCATAATGAAAAGTAAATCCTCCATTGCACAATTTCTCCTGCATACCCCACAGAAATGTCTTGTGTACCCCCAGGAGTACATGTACCAGTTTGGGAACACCTGGTCTACTGCAAGGGTGCTCAGGATCTGGCCCATGGGTAAAGTGCAGCCTGTGGAGCCTTTGAATCTGGTCCACAGGGCTCCCCAGACACCAGGAAATTTGGTGGCAGGGAACAATGGCCATCCCCTCCCTGCTGCCAAAATCCCAAGCCCCATGGGGCAGATTGGAGCCAGGCCACAACCGTCTTCCAGCACAGCCAGATCTGGGCTGAGCCATGTCCCCACCCCTTAGACAGCTGGTTTGGAGTTGAGCATACACCCCCTTTCCGGGACCACCCCCTCCCCCAACCAGGTCAGGACCATGGCATGCCCCCTTAGTGGCCTTCCCCCAGCCAGGTCAAAACCAGGGCATGTCTCCTAGACTGCCTGCCCAGCCAGAGCACTGCTTATCCAGCCCACTGAACCAGACTTCTTTCTGTCCATAAACAAATATAGGTAGCAGCATAGTTTGCTTCCTTACCTTGAAGTGCTTATTACATTATTGTTTGAGTTAGGACCTTGTTGCATCTTATGTTGTGAGCTGCAGTAATGTTGATGGGTAGGGAACTCAATGCAGCTGCTGGCCAATTTTGTAGGCAGACAGCAGGGCTGGCAGCCCTTTTCGTGGGCTGAGCGCGGAGAGCCCCCTACACCCGATTGACAGAGGGGCCCCAGTAGTTCCACTCCTGACCACCAATTTGGCTGAGAGCCGTCATATAGCCCTGGCCCTTGCCGCTGATTGGCTGTGAGGGCTGTCCATCATACAGCTGTGCCATATGACAGACAGCCTTTGCAGCCAATCAGCAGAGAGGGGTAGGGGCAACACCCATTTTGCCATGCTAGCAGCTCCATTAACCTCCAGGGCAGTAGCCATGAGGACTCCCAAAGGGAGCCAAAACTTTATTTTTGGAAATCCCCCCCCACCCCCGGAGCCTGCCAAAAGTACAGAGTCCACCCAAAACCATGGTTTCCGTGAAAAAAAAATTAAAAAAAAAAAATCACAAAATCATACATTTTACTAGGTCCCTATTGATGGGTGTTAGTGCCAGCTCAACCTTGGAGCAATCACTTTAGGCCAACAGGGGCCTAGAGGACTGAAAGTTAAGAATCCCAATCCATATTCCAGGCTTCTCCCCTGCCCTCCTGGCCTAAGCCTAGCATAGCTGCACCTTAGTGTAACACAAGCTGAATGAATCAGAATGGAGTGGCTTAAAAACTCTGAGCTGCACAATGTGTGCTTAAAACCAGTTTCAGGTGTTAAAGTTCAGGCAATCCTAGTATTAAGAGTTCCAGGAGCTGCCCAAACTTACTGAATATCAAGGCCCCAACATAAATTACTCCTAAGCACTTAGTCTTACCCTTGATATAGAGCAACTTGGCCCTAATCACTACATTACATTTGCCAGATCTAGCTCCAAGTCCAAACAGTTTCTCTTGGAGAGCTTCCAGGTCTTGTGCAGGTTGCAAAGTAAGGGAAATGCATATAATTTCAAGCTGTGCTTCATCATTTTCCTCAGGTATAGTATCAGTCTCAATTTTTTTCTTTCTGAAGGATACCCAGGTAGATGACTCTTGATGCTATCCCTGTTATCTAGAAAATCCTTACATGGCCTTTTTCTAATTTAGTCACCATATTTACAAACTGAAATGGGCTGCCATACAGCATTAACCACAGTGAAGGAAAGGTGACTCTTTTAGAAGCATCATGATGTGCTATCATAGCCCACTATATACAGACAAGTGATAGGTCATCATACGTTTTTGCTATCAAGTTACCAGGACTATTTCACAGCATTCAGCTCAGGAAACTCTATCACTAGGCAAACTGCCATAAAGTGCCAACACACTTGTTAACCATCTTCGTCATAATATTCAAATAATCATTTGCATGGCAGAGAAAGTCAATAAAAATCAACTGGGCCAATGAGCAATGGATAAAGTCATTCAAGTTTTTGATTTCCAACAACTGTGACATTTTGCTGCATACCAACATATTAGGTGATAAAGCAAATATTTCTGTCATTAGAGTGATATAAACCAAATGTTACCTTCAAAGCATAATCTTTGCCACTCCCAAGATCTTGAGCTTCATAAACAAAAGCAAACCCACCTGCAAGAACAGACATGAATGCTAGTTAAAATGTACTATTTCAACCACGTAAATGAGTGCATGATTATTTTTTTACTTCCCTGTTAGCAATAAATATAAAACAATAGCACTACTGTAATTTGAGATGCTAATTCCACCCTTCCCAGGATCCCTACAGATGGATTAGAGAAGATTTTAATTCTCTCCAACTGCTTGTTGCATTAGCAGCTCCTCCCTGTACAGCAAAAATATGGATGGGTTTGCTGCTAGGGCTGTGCAAAGCTTCAAATGAAATTGGCTACTGGAGGATATCTGGCCTGATTTGGGGACCAAATCTCCAAATCAAAATCGAATCGGGAGACCAAGTAAAAGCTCCGAATCCATTCAAAGCATCCAAATCAATTCAGAAAAGAGCTCCAAATCGGCCAAATTCAGCCATAGACTAAACAGGCAGCTGTCAGAGGCCTCCAGCTGGTAAATCTGTTGGGATTGGGGGAGGGACGGATTGGTGGGATGCAGGCAAGGCTCACTCCAGGAGGAAGGGGGCAAGCAGCAGCAGAGCATACCTCCTGCTCCCAGTATTACCATGCCTGCATCCCATGCCCATTGCACCTGGAATGGCTGGCAAGAAACAGCAGAGCATAGGCCCTGCTCCCAGCCCTGATGCAGGCACAGCAGAACTGGGAGCAGGGGCTATGCCCTGCTGCTGCTGCCCAGAGTGAGAGGCAGAGGCAGGCACAGCTGGAGGAACCACAAGAGAGGCCCTCATGGCCGCACTGCCCATCCCCAGCCTCCTGGCACTTGAAACAAAAACACCACCAAAAACAAAAATGCCCCGCACTCACAGGCTGCAGGAACAGCAATTGGGGCCTCTGGGCCCTCATGGCAGAGCTCTCCCGCGCAGTGTAGGGCTGTGGGGAGCAGCGGGGATCACCACCCCCCAGCACTTGCGCAGCAGATGCCCCATGGCATGGGTGCAGCATGGCTCAGCAGGGTGCGGCACACTGTCCCGGAGCTCCCGATTTGATCCCCAGCTCTCTGATCATTCCCCCAGCTCTTTCAGGGGAGAGTGGGGAGGGCACAGCCCCTGGATCTGCACATGGGGTTTCAGCACAGCTGGCAGCAACAGCTTGCTGTCATCCCACATCAACCGGGGGCTCACACCCCCAGGAAGAGCTGGGGGAAAGATCGGGTAGCTGGGGAAATGTTCTGGGACCTGAACATTCCCCCAGCCCCCCCCGTTCAATTCACCTGGGAGCTGGGGCAGCTCCATGTGTCAGCCGGAGCCTGGCAGCGCTCAGTCCCAGCAGCCCCATCTCCCAGACAGTGCACAGTGCCCTGCCCTGCCAAGCCACGCAGCACCCACACCATGGGGCAGCTGCTGCGTGGGTGCCAAATGGGTGGGGGGACACAATCGCCACTGCCCCCCACTGGGGGGGGCTCTGCCACAAGCACCCAGAGGCCCCAATCGTCACCGCTACAGCCGGTGAGTGCAGGGCTTTTAAGAGCCGGGAGGCTGGGGCCAGGCAGGGGAGCCATGAGGGCTTCTCCCATGGCTCCCCCAACCTGGGGAAACTGACACAGCTGGAAGAGCCACAGGAGAACCTGCAGCTGCCTGGCTGATCTGAATCACTGAATCAGCGCCGAATCTTCTGAAGCCAATTCCACCAAATCAATTCAAGACAGCAATCTGAACAGAATCACTGTCCTCTGAATCAGCCAAATCTGAATTGAATACTTCCCTATTTGCACAGGCCTATTGGCTACCATACCAAAGTCTGAGAAGCTACAGCATTGGCAGGCTGTCCTTTTCAATGGAGATACAAAGTGAACACTTCCTAGAATTGTAAGTTTCAGGAAGCTGAAATTGACAGAACTAAGATACTCCAAGGAAGTTCACAGAAAATTACTGTGTTCATTGGAATGTCCATTTTAAAAAATAGCTTTTAGCAAAAATAGCTTTAAATAAAAATAGTCTACAAAATGAGACTGCTGTCTTTTGAAAATATTTTGATCAGTACTGTTGTAGAGTGACCTAATAACCATTTCCTATCTTTCCATCAGAATAATTCCTTTAGGATACACAATGAGAAGGAATGCCTGGGGGCTGAAATCTGAAGTGTTACCAGGACTGCAATGAACTCTTGAAACAAAGCATTTATTTACTTTTATAAACAGCACAACTTAAGAAGGCAGTGCTGACTGCTCCCCCCCGCCCCAATCAAGCCATTTTGTCACTTACATGAGTATCCTTCATATCTGTAATATAGACTTTAAGCCTATATTTCAGCACTGCAGACACAATATTTATTACTATTTTCAAGGTTACTGCAACTAATTCCACTCAACTCATGACTAAGTGCTTTTACATTGTGTATTTATTCTAAGGAAATAATGATATTTAGATATATAGGATAGACTGAACATACATTAAGAAAACCCAAATAAGAATTTTGTTAACATTTAATAAATAAAACTCCTAATGACTTGGCATATTAAGAGCTTTTAAAACAAGTTTTCTAGCATCAGTTCCCATGTTAAAATACTAATTTTCTGAAGCAATGGAACGTTTATAAACTTGCACAAGCAATAAAAGTTGGTTATCAGGATGCCATATGTCATTACCGATAAACGTAGAAATTTGAGGTTAAAAGCTAGTTGCAGTTACGAAAGTGCTTCAGAGCTCTGAACAGAAACAGCTTTTAAATTAAATTAAATTAAATTAAATTAAATTAAATGACGTAAGTGAGATTCATGAGCCTGCCTAGTTTCCTTATTTGTTACTTGACACTTATGTACACATGCACCAATACCAAATTACCTGTACTCATCTAATTTACTTTGGGAGAATTTGTACAGTGTCTGTGCCTTCCGTGGATACACCTAGCAGCCAAAAAAATATAGATCAGAGGTCAGCAACCCCCGGCATGTGTGCCGAGCATGGCACGCCAGGTCATTTTGCTTAGCATGCCACTGCCAGCCTGGGCTCTAGGAAGCTGCTGCCAGCTACGAAGCCTGGGCTGCTCCCAGCAGGCGGCTGGGAAGCTGTAAGCCCTACTGCAAGCAGCCCCAGGCTCCGTGGTTGGCAGCAGCTACCCAGAGCCTGGGCCAGTTGCAGCCATGAGGCTGCAAACAGCTGCTCTGGGCTCTAGCATCAGCTCTGTACTGGCAGGTGCATGCACACCTCAGAGCAGACAGTGGGGGAGGGCCCTGAGGCAGCGCAACCCTGGCCTCTCCCCCTGCTGCCAGCACAGAGCTGATGACTGGGCTCCAGAGCCCAGCACAGCTGTTTATAGCCAGACTGGACTCTGGGCAGCTGCAGCAGTGGGCAGGCTGCAAACAGCTGTGCTGGGCTCCACAGCCCCAGCATCAGCTCCATGCTGGTGGCAACTGCACCGGCACCCCAGAGCAGATAGTGGGAAGGCTGTGTTGCCTCAGGCCCCATCCCCAGCATCTGCTCCGAGACGCGCACACACCCACCAGCATGGAGCTGATGCCAAAGCCAGGAGCAGCTGTTTGCAACCTCCCGCCTGCAGCCAGCCCAGGCTCTGGTAGCTGCTGGAGCCCAGAGCCCAGGCTGCTTGCAGCAGGGCTTCCAGCTGAGCTCACCTGACTCCCAACCGCTCTGAGCCCAGCCCTGGCCCCCACACCAGGATGAGGCTGGCGTTGTCCCTTGCCAAGAACACCACACTTTTTGCAGACTTAGCTGTGCGGGGTGGGTAGGTGGTTGGCCTGATGGGCAGGCTCCGGGCTGGGGCCTTGGCCAGCTGCGCTGCAGCCCGGGGCCTGGCTCCCTGGGGAAGCACAGGGGCTCTGGCGGGACCACGGAATTGTTGGGTCAAGCTTTGTCCAGTGACCCAGGAGTCTGGCTCCGTGTGCCTGCACATCTGGTTCTGTGCATTTGTCTGCCTCCGCCTGGCTCTGTATGTCTGTGCGCGCACACACGTCTGGTTCCGGATGTGTGCACGCATCTTTTCTGGGTGTGTTCTGGCTCTCTGTATTTGAGTACGTGGTTCTCTTTCTCCTCTCATTGAAACATGCTCAACAAAAAAAGAGCTGCGCGTTGGGAGCAAGGGGCAACAGCATGGACAGGGCACCAGCATATCAGGGCTGCGTGGCACCACAAAAAGGCATGGAGGGAAACAGCTGCAGCTGGACCCACATCCTGGTGAACAAAGGGGCAGCTGGACCCACATCCTGGTGAACCAAGGGGCAGGGGGAGCTCTGATTTTCCACAAAAAAAAAGCCAAAATGAAACGCACAAAAATATATAGGTATTGAAAATGTATTTTATTATAATGATTGATTGATAGGCATTGGTAGGCTTCCAAAGAGATTTAAAATTGTAAACATATCAATAAAATATTGTGTTCAACTCATACCTATATATAGTGGCATTTCATTTTAATCATGGAAAGATGCAGATTTTGGTTTCTTAATTCAGATATTTCTTAAGTCAGAAAATTTTGGATTTTTTTATCAGAGAAAACCAGGATCCCTGCAGATAAGGAACACTGTGAAAGTATTTCATTCTTTCTACCATACAATTTGCTGTGCAAACAATCTATAGCTAGCACTATGCTCCCTCTTATCCTGCTTGCTTTGTCTGCAGTGCCAACAATAGAAATCAAGTGAGATGTGAACTGCTTAATTCTCCCTCTGCAAGAGATGCCTCTAAACCCAAGGGTGGACAATTATTTCAGTCAGAGGGCCACTTACTGAATTATGACAAGCCATTGAGGGCCTCATGACAGTTAGCCAGTGGCAGATAAATATTCATTTTCTACATTTTTTAGGGGCCCCGCGGGGTGGATAGAATGGCCTGGCAGGCTGCATCTGGCCTGTGGGCTGCATTTTGCCCACCCCTGCACCATAGGCAGAAGGATAAAAAAAGTTGAGGGCAGGGGGGCTAAGTGCTTGTGCCTCCTCAGGTAGGAAAGTCTGTTGGAGAAGGCAGTGGGGATGGGCAGGGCCGCAGTTGGAGTACTGCATCCAGTACTGGGCGCCGCACTTCAAAAGGGATGT